TCGGCGCTGTTCGCCAAACACCGGAAGTCGACGACACTGGATGTAAGGGATGTCCATTTGGCTCTGGAGAAGAGAGAGAGAGAGATGACACGATTTAAGTTAAGACAAAACAATTGTGTATTTTATTTATTAAATATAAATGCATTTATAAATTCAATAATAATCAATAATCTCTTTTTATAATTCAAATAATTTAGTTATAATTAGTTATAAATACAAAAATATTACAAAAAACCACTAAATATGGGAATAATAATAATAATCACAACAATAATGCGGACCAATAATCACAGAGCAATTTGATTGCATATATCATTATCTCATCACAACTTCTTCATCGTCTTCTTAATCAACGCCAGGCGTTGCTTATGGGCTTCGGTGACGAAGGCCTGACGCTTGTGGTGCTGTCGTTGCTGGTGGTCGTCGACACCGAAGCCCGGGATCCACATCTGCCAGTTCTTCTCCAGAGCCAAATGGACATCCCTTACATCCAGTGTCGTCGACTTCCGGTGTTTGGCGAACAGCGCCGACGTGTAGACCAACGACTCGATGAACTCGTCAGCGATTGTCAACAGCGTGTCCTCCACTTCTTCCTCCAGCTGTTCCGACGGGTCTACCTCTTGGACCAACTCATGCAGACGTTTCTTATCTAATATCAACACTGAGTTCTTGAGACCAGCGCCGGCCACTCCCGCGCCACCGATGGATCCGTTAGTGCCGATCAACTGTTGCTGTGACTGAGACGACGAGTCTTCGGACGACTCTCTCATCAGCTGATCGCTGAGGAGACTATCGTTGCCGTTGAGGCCGTGGCTGTGGTTAACGGTAGCCATGGGTCTGACCATCGATGGGAAAGTGATGGGCGGTTGCGGCGGCTGTCGGAGCGACGTCTGCAGAGGACTACCGCCGGTGGGAAGTAGTAGTGGTGATGATGTCTGTGGCGGCGGTTGGGATAGGGTTTGGCTCAAAATGGTCGCACCCGTGGCGGACATCATCGGCATGTTGTGTGTCATCGGCAACCCGTTGGTGGCCATAGAGGTCGGCGCCGGCCCTCCGCGGCCACCGCTGGCCATGAGTTGGGCCGACATTAACGGTGCGGACAGTGTTTGCGATAACATGTGAGAAGACATCGCTTTTCAATCCCTGTTTACTCAATGACTGCGAAACACAGACAACTGTTTACACGTATTGAGTACTTCACACAAATTACGTGTCCATTAATTACGAGCTTTTATTAAATAAGTAAATGTTTGTAAAGTATTTAATTCAGTTTTAATTCATTTATAAATAGTTTATTATATTATGTTTTAATAAATTTTTATTACTATTTGTAAATTATAATAATTATTAATCCCATTGTATATAAGTCTCACAACTACTTTGTAAATATGATTCAATAAATTGTTTTACCAAAAAATATATAACAATTTTTCATCCGTTTTATGACATAATTAAACAAAAAATATAACATAAAAATAAATTCATAACAAATCGCGACTAATAAATGTCAATTTGATGGCAGAGTAGGGTTCTTAGGAGGGCTCCGGAGGGTATGTTTCCTGAACCACAAAACCCTATTAACTTATAACAAAACTGAGAGTTTCTTATAAAATATAATTAAAACAAAAAAAAACAAATTTTAAGTGGAAATTAAATGTTTAGTCTAAACTATTGGGTCCCGAGACTGGAATGGACTGCTCTCGGCTCGACTCGAGCCCCTCCTAACGGGGGCAGAGGGCGTGTCGGCCGCCATCGACCGGCAGAGTTACGCCCGTTATAAACGAGGCCTCATCGCTGGCGAGGAAGGCTATGGCGGCGGCCACTTCTGGTGCCTCTCCAGGCCTGCCGAGCGCGTGAGTGGTGCGCGAGTGCTCCAGAAACTTACGGAAAGCCTGTTCCGTGAGTCCGCCCCTCTTCTGCAGACCAGTCGTGATTACGCCCGGATTGACGGCATTAACGCGCACGTGTTTGCCGGCCAACTCGATGGCCGCGCATCGGGTCAACTGATCCACACCGGCTTTGGCCACGCAATAGGCCAACACGTTGGGGAACGAACGGACACCGTTAACGCTGGACACGTTCACAACGTTGCCTTTGGTGGCCACCAAGTGCTCGGCCGACAGTGTCATCAATTGGTATACGGAGCGCAAGTTGATGCCCATCACGCGGTCGAACTGTTCCAGCGATGTGTTCTCAACGGAGCCAAACTCTATGATACCGGCGCTGTTGACCAGAATGTCGAGTCGGCCGAAGTGGGCCACTGTTTGCCGCACCAGTTGTTGCACATCTGGTTCGGACGTGAGCTCGCATTTGGTCACCAGAATCGTGTCGTCCGTCTGATAGCTGGAGTGTTTGGTCAGACATCGGTTCTTCAGCTCTTGAATGGCCTCAAGATTACGGCCCGTTAGCGATAGGCGGGCACCCAATTGGCTGAACAACAGGGCTGTGGCCTTCCCTATGCCCGAACTCGACCCTTCATTTCACATATAAAATATAGTGGTTTTTAGTGTTTAAAACTAATTAAATAACATATGTTTTTGTGTTTTCACACCTATTAGTGCTAAATCCCGATATAATAAACATAATATTTAGTGCTTATAATTAATAGTTAAACAAATTGTATGAAAATTAACAGAATATTCTGTGCCTCCCATTGAAAACCACTGGCAATGGTATTCAAAGCCAGCGCTCAATACAAGTGTAACGCAAAGCCATTGCATTGAATACTGCATACAATAAACACATGATTTTCAATGCGATAACAAAACAAACAAAAACAACACAACAATCAAAACCCCAATTCATCGGCAAATCGTTGGCCACAAAAGCAAACACTTTTCGGTAATTATAATCATTTAATCATTCAATGCATACCATCGATGGTAGATCTCAACAGACATACAGACCTGTAATGAGTGCCACTTTTGATGACAACTTTCTCGCCGCCGAAGACATTGTCTGTGTTGTTGATTGGATCAGTATTTTTGCCGACAATTAACTAATAACTCTTCACTTAATTATATATCTCAGCAAACGATTAGCTCAAAGACTATATCCAAGTGTTGTGTTTGCCTTCAAATCGCAGCAAATAATCACAATTTGTTTTGCCATTGACTTCAATGGCAAACACATGTTATTTGCAATCAATTTAACGCCAAAAGGGCTTAACTATACCACTGATCAGACACTGGATTTACGCCCGTTTAACACCTCATCATATTTTTATTGCATACATGTGTAAAATACACATAAATTAACTTTTAATCAATCATTTAAATCTATAACTCATTAATTATTACTATAACTTCATTACCACTACTTAATAGCCTTATAATCATTGTCTGAATACAGCGATGATAACGTTGAGGACGGCGTTGTCGGCCAACCAATCGGCGCTAAGACATCAGTTCATAGTCAGCAACAATAAGCCGGTGGTCAGCGCTCTGTTGGACAGAGAGTGGTCGACCGATCGGCCCGTATTGGTGGACAAATGCTCGACAGGTTTCCCAGTGATCATTAGTAAGCGGTTTGGGCGCCGGTATCGCAAGTGGTATCACTGGCCAAACGATTTTCTGCCATTTTATTGGGAACGGCAACGATATCCCGGCGGACATATGGTCACCGGTGATCAGGTCCAGGACATCGGCACTTGGGATAAGAATGCGCTCATACTTGACGCCAAATACTGCAAAGCGCTCGACGAGTATAGCATTTTAATTGACATTAAATGACCATTTTTTATGTGTGTTTATTAATTATGAATTGTGTTTTGTATTTGTTTAGCGCACCCGAAGTGGTCAGACGTCAGTTCACGTTAGAGTTCGCCCATCGGGTAAATCATATGATTATTTTAAGCGTTTTAATAGCCATTAAAACTAATTGTGTTTAATGTGTCGTTTCAATGGAACAGAAAGATATTGTTAAATACCAAAGGTATCACATCATGAAAGCCATGCAAAGACATCCGATGGACGTCACATCACCCGAAGCTCGCAGTCAGTGACCATTTAATTGCATCTAATATTGATTTTTATTAATATTTATTTCTGTTTATTTCTCAGTCACCGACTATACGGTTAAAATACGTAACTTTTTGCACCATTTCATCAAAGTTAATCCATACGTTAGTATCACTTCAATTGAATCAATAGAAATGGCCAGTCGTGTTAGCGCACAGGTGTTTGCGGCCACACAATCGGGTTATTTTAATCAATTAATACAAGAATTAGTAGTCCTTCGCATACATCGACTGACCATTTCTTAATTAATGAAATCTCGAGCAATAATTAACTCTCTCTCTCTCTCTCTCTCTCTCTCTCTCTCTCTCTCTCGTGTCTGTCCATAACGACGGGTGCGTTGACCACAAACAGGCGGAGCGAATGAAGATCATAAGCAACGGCTTGAATCTGAAGAGAGCCAAAATGCTGAAAGAGCTGTTCTATATGGACAGAGAGCGGTTCCACTTCGTGACCAAAACCCTGAAGATTGACTACACGCCACCCGTATTGGGCGAGATGTACGTCAAGCCCACGCGTAAGGGTGAGCTCCGGCGGCTGACCCGCGAGTACTGCGACAAAATCAAGACCGACAAACTGGAGGCCTATCACCAGAAGCTGTTGGCAGAGCAGCGCGAGTTCGAGGCCAGCAAAGAGTCGATGCAAAAGTGGATCAAAGACGAGGAGAAATTCTTGGGCTTAACGGTTCCCCAGACGGCCAAACCGGCGCCCACTTAGTCCGCAAACGCCGTCTACTAGTGCTATGAATGGCCTGTAGTTTAATGTTTAAATTAATTAGATTTATATTTCACTCATTGTTTAATTTCAATAAAACATTTATCAAAATATTGTTTCATTACTTTAATTATACTATATTTGTATTTAAAAACAATGAGTCCCTCAAAGTTATGCCAGAATTTGAGTGAAAAACACAAATCAATTGTCAAAACGTTTGGCCAAAAAAACTATTTAATTAATAAGTATTATAAAACACAAAATTTTAATTACAAAAGTTAATGACTTTACAAATTAAAGATATATTTTGCGAAAATGCTTACAATTAGTTATAAATTGCATAAAATAACAAACATTTATAAATATGAATCCCAAAAACTGAATGAACGCTAAAAAAGAGCCAAACGGCCGGGCGATCACTTGGCCGGTGATTTGGCCGACTTCTTGGTGTGCTTAATGGCCGCCTTACGAATGCCGTAGTGTTTTACCCATAGGCGCCAATCGGCCATTGAAAAGCTGAACACCGACTGAATGCCGGCCTCCGACTCGGCGGCGGCCACGCCATCGACGCCCGCGTTCTCCACCGACTGAAACCCGGGCGCGCCGTCGTCCGGATCGGCCACCAGTCGAGCCAACCCGTCCTTCACCAGGAATGACGAGTGAAAGATATTCTCCACCGTTTCGGACATCGACTTGGGATTCGCCATCACTTCTAAGTACGGCAGCGCCGGTATATCGGGATTCTTGGCCTCCAGTTTCTGTATAGTCTTCAGTATCTGTTCCACCTCTTCGGGCGTCGCCTCGACGTCGGCGTTCACCTTGTCTTTCATGTCCAGTTGCGTGGCTCCGGTCTGAGCGCCGAGCACTGGCTTCTGGTGGCGGACACGGGCTTTGGGCGGCGGCTTCTCGGGCTCGCCGTCCGTATTGAACGCGCCCTTAATGTAGACAAAGGGCGGCAAAACGCGATGCAAACGGCAGTACTTGCGGCCAAACTCGACCCAATCGGTGCGATCGACGCCTCCGCGACCATCGGTGGTCTCGTCGGCGTCCATGCGATGCAACGGATCCAACGCTGTGAGCAACTTCTCGGCGAACTCCATGGCGTCGAACTGCTTGGCGTCCGTCTGAAGACGTTTGGCCAGTTGTACGGTGAGTGCGCTGTTGATGACAATACACTGGGCGTCGAGCGGCATATTCTCGTTGACGCCGCCGCTTAAGAAGCACTCGTCCTGTTTGGCCAACTGTTCCGTCAGCCGTGTGGTCGCCTCGCGTATGTCCGCACACTTGTCGGCCTCACGAGTCTCGCGGGCGATGTCCACGAAGACGCTCTGATGGCGGGCGATCTCGTCGGCCGTTTGGTTCGTCTTCAGCAGCGACTGGTCCTTCTGGTGACCGTTGAGGCGACGACTGTTGCGGCGACCGCTGGCCGACGGCGGCGGCGGTTGACTCGGCATCTGACTGAACGGTACGTTCAACTCTTCGGCCAACTCGTCGGCGTCCACTTCCGTGTCATCGCCGCCGCCATTCACCACCTCTTCGTCGTTATCCTCGAAGATCTGGGAATCGCTGAACATGTCTTGAGACATGTCTTCCGTGCGGCCAATGATTTGATGATTAAAAACAAATTTGTGTTTAAAAACCAAAACACAATTCAATGCCTGGTTTTTGGCGCAATTCACGGGCCGTTCATATATAACGTGCTTTCATTTGAAGCCAATGGGGAATACAGTATACATGCGTTATATACTAATTGTATTGGTGTTTAATAATCAACCATGGTCATTTTGACCATTTTAATAAATGAACATTACAATTACCATTATATTAAATGTTATCATGGTCAAAATCTGATTCTAACTAAATCACGTAAGTTGCCTGTAATAAAAATATTATCGCTATTATAACGAGAATAGACTGTATTCTGTGATTCGCGTAATTTGTGTACAGTTTTTGTTGTGATTTGTTTTGCAAACAGAGAGTAAAAGTAAAACCAAAACAACAATTAATTTCATATTCATATCAAAGACTGTTTCGAAAGACTGATCCGAAGAGTGGACCACAAGATGGCGGACACGAGTGACAGTCACCACGAGTTTCAGAAAGTGCTTCGACTTCTTCACAGTCGGGCCAAAGACTCGGCCGACATATTGAAGGCGATGTTGGATGAGGTGCTCCGCAACCGATCCAAACCGGTATGTCTTCAGCGGAGTCTATGTCTTCGCACATCTGATCCAATTGTCAATTAATCTGAACCCCTCTTTTCAGGACCAGAAGCCATCGATGGCCACTATGGCTGCGGCGGCAGCGAAGACATCGGTGATCAAAGGCATGGAAACCTCTGTCATTAAGTCCTCCTCCGACTACAAGAGAGACAACGTTTCGCAGTTCGAGACAAACCTCAAGAGATTTGACACAAACTTTGATAAAGTAATTGATATTTGATTTGCAAAACACATGTCATCTGTGATTGTCTCTCATATTTGCTGTCCATTTCAGTACCGAAGCGAGAGTTTTGAGTATCCAATGGATCGGAAGCGGCAGCGCTTGGATTCGCCGCAACAGACATCGCGATCGACCACTTCGTCGCCCCAACCGGTGGGCGCCGTTTCGGGCCTACAATTGCCGGCAAAAGTGCAATCACTGCCAGTCATCGACGAGTACCAGTTCACGGACACCGTTACCACTCCGACCGCTATTCACACGATGGCCACCACTGGCGGCGTCGGCGGCGCTGCCATCAAAGTGGAGGACGACTCGGAGACAGACATCGAGGACGAGAACACAGACGCCGGAGAGTTCGCCGTCGAAATGGGTTTGGCGTGCGTTCACTGCAAACAGATAGACATCGCGCCCAACAACCAGTTGGTCGAGTGCCAGGAGTGTCACAATCTGTACCATCAGGAGTGCCATCGGCCGCCACTACTCGATCGGGACATCTCTGACCCGCGATTCGTGTGGTATTGCGCCAAATGCCAGAAGACAATGAAGAAGATTGCGGTCAAACCTAAATCGGGCGCCAAAGCGAGCGCCGCCGCGCCTGTGGCCGCTCCCGCTGTCGCTCAGATGAAGGAGTATTCGTTGCCTAAAGCACTGACCAAAGGGGACAGTAGTGGCGGCGGCGGTGGCGCTGATACGTCCGCCGTTTCGGGTATCAGTAGACTTATACAGCCGTTTAAACGCGAACACAAAGTGCCGGTTCCCGGACAGCCCAGTGGCGCCGCCGCGGCAGCCGTTTCGGCCAAACCAATTGGTTTGGCGGCGTTGGCCAACATTAGCCGCTCGGGCTCTGTGGGCAGCGGCGCCGGTGCCGTTAGCGCCGCTTCGGGCGCCAAGAATAAGGCCGGGAATGGCAATAATGGCGGTTCTGGTGCTGTCATCGCATCCCAGAGCAGCGCCACCGCCGCAGACAAACGGCTTCAGAGTCTGAAGAAAAAATCGTCTAAAAAGTGATGATATGTTTTGTATTTGTTTTTTTTGTGTGACTTATGTTTTTGCTGTCATTTAGTTTTGTAATTAATTTATTGTAATTTTTTTATACAAGTATTTTATTTTTCGAAACCATTTTTTTGTATTAATTTTTTTTGTCGATTACTTTTGATTGTAATCAACGCCGAGGTATATGTGTATCAGATTTTGAATCAATTTTTGTAATTAAATTAAATTAAAAGTTTTCATATGAAAGTCTCTCTCTCTCTCTCTCTCTCTCTCTCTCTCTCTCTCT